CAGCAGGAAAACTAACTTATCAGTGGTACCTTGAGGGATAATGGAGAGGTGCAAATGTTCGTTAGGGGCAAGAATGTTACTGTGCAATTCTCCTTGTGTGTTCCCTCCAATATTCTGTTCCCAGGCACCCAGCTCGGAGGCATTGCTGTTCCAGAGACTAAAGGTGTGGAGAGGACTGTACTCTTGTAGGTCCATCGATGTGGTTGTTGAAGAATATGCCGTCTTTCATTTTTCTGTCTATGACTGCTCCGAGAGTAATGAGAGGCTTTTCTTCTAGTGCACAATCTTAGGTTTGGTGGCCCTCACAATCGATGTTACTCAAACATCTTTTGAGTCCTTAGTAATTGCAAATGCCTTTGGAGCTTCCATTTGCTGGGATCACCTATATTTCCTCACCCAATGTGCTGGTTTCCTACTTCCTATCTCTGTGGTATTTAACTATTTCATGAATTTGGTGCCCGCAGCTGCAAACTCAGATCCTATTTAATGTGTGAAGCATCAGGTGTTCAAACACTACCGGGCAGGATGGCTGCCAGTGCTGCTAGGTAATACTATGTGAAATATTTCCATTCATTTCTTGCAACAGATGAATATCCACATGTTGTAAATGGGGAAGTGGAGGAAAAGGAACTCACCCATGTTGGCAAACCAGATGTTCAAAGTCCCATGGCAGTGATTTGTCTTTTAATCCGTATTTTTCCCCACACTGTTCCAGTACACCGTGGAGATATTTTTAAAGCTTTAATTCAAGTTCAAGCAAAAAATGATGCTTACAGTGTACACTGGAATTACGTCCAGGGAGGCAATGGTACAGAAAAATGATTAATTCACCTTTTGCTTGGAATTTATTTATGAATTTTGGTAAAGTGGTTGGCATTTATTTACTCTGTCTGTTCTGAAGGAGAGAACACTGGGTTTGTGTTTGTAGGCTCATTGGTTTTGAGTCATCAGTGTTTAACTCATCTTGCAGGCTGTTAATGCATTGAAATAATGAGGGGGTATGGTAAAAGGAATTTGCTTTGCATGTCTCATCGCAAATGCAATAGTAAATCAGCTTTGTCCTACAAGATGCTGAGCTCCCCTTGGGAAGTGCTCGCAGCATACTTATCTCCCCATACCTTCCATGCACGCAGGAGTGTGTCCTAGCTAAAGCAAAGCAGTGATGATCTTTTCTGTGTTTGTCTGCAGAGTGTTACATACTGCTATCTGGCACCTCTCACTGCTGATTTAATTCTCTCACAGCAAGGATGCTTTGATGCAAAGCACCTTTCAGCTATTTGGCTAGGAAACTGATAGTAAAAAGCCATGTGATTCTGCACCGAGTCAAAAGTCCTTCTCAAAGGAAGGGTAGGAAATAGAAATACTTATGAATTTTTGCATAACAACTTGAAATTAACTGATTTATGGCTATTAAAAAAACCTTCTCATACTTATTCAAACTTAGACTGTGAACCTCTGCATCCAGATTAGCATTCCTAGAAATTTCTATAGTTCCAGGATCCATTTTTCAAAGAACAGGTAATGACTTTTCCTCAAAATATCTCTATGCCCTATTTTGAAGTGTTGCAGATTCCCAGTGAGCTCTCCCTCCAGAGCAGCGGAACTGAACGTCATCTGTCCCCTGTGTTACTTCTCATGCATTAACCATGTTCCCTAGAGCTCGTTGTTGCAGCTTTTGGGAGCTTTCCACCTAGACTTCGGAGGTCTGTGGGCCTCAGTCAGCTGTGGTATTTTTCTAGAGCTTTTACTGCAGTGCTTCTCTGTGCAAGACCAGGCTTGCCTGTTTAAGCAAGAAGCAATGAGCTTCTGTACGGATGGCACTGAAGAATAGAGTACCCTTCAAAACGGTAGATTTGATCCTGCTTCCGATTTTGTTTGTGATTATTCCCTTCTCCCTTCCTTGGAGGAAGTGCAGTTCCTTATTTTTCAGCTCATTCCCTGCTAGCAGCGGGAAGGCTCATCCCTTGCTTTCCCACTCAATCTAACCAGCAACTTGCTTGCTCTGCCTGCTTCTGGATTCTGCAGTAGTTCTCAGTTACTCCATGACATTTCCATTTTTGCTTTGAAGGCACAGTCAAATTAGGCACAAGGGCAAGCTGGCTGAAGTTCAGAAAAATAAGTATTCAGGTTGGGGGAATCACAAGAGTCCCTACAGGCCAAGTTAAACTCTGAATTTCAGCAGCTCAAAACGTGCTTGGTATAGAGAATCTGTGGACCAAGCAGTCTCTCTTGAATGAAGCTATTCTTATCTAGGATGAGTGGTTTTTAACCTTGGTCCGTCTCCTTATTCCAACGTTTTCAGTGCTTGTAATACTTACATTGTGTTAGCCTAACTACTGCCTGATGTACTTCTGTTATGGTTCTACTCCGATCTATCCACTTACATATTTAGCTGAACGTCTTTCACTGGTGTAACTCCCTTTAGGACATAATGGTGCCCTCATGAAAGCCAGTCAGTTGTGGGACATACAAAGTGCTGCTGCTTTGTAAATTACCACAGAAAAACACCTCTTTCGTACAGCTCTGCCTGTTGACACTTCCAGTGAGGACTGGGTGCTGTTTGGCTTGCCATTGTATAGATGCATGATGCTAAAGCCCTGGCTCCCTTGCAAACCTGGAATTTGGCGTCTGCTGAATTACTCTGATCCATGAGCCTGATGCGTCTTGTTTGCAAGACGTCGGAGTGAGCGGGCTGCTACGGAGCGTACTCCAGGGCAGAGAGCAGCAGGTACTGCTGTACTCCACTTCATCTGCTGCTGTCCTGTGCTTGAGTTGCTGTGAGAGTGCAAAATTCTGCAAGTCCTACAAAGATAAAGTTTCCATCGGGGGTTTCCCCTGAATAATTATTTCAGGGTTGAGCCCCAAAGTAACACATTGTGTTTAATCAAACAACTTTTTCTGGCTCTTTGAATTGTGTATAATATACTTCCTATGTATTTTTACTGTAGTAGGATGTTACAATTATTAAGCTGGGTCTGAAAGTATCAGGACTTAAAACTGCTGTTATGTTCCTGTAGCAATTGTGAGCTTCCGCTTACAGTGACATGTTTAGAGGGTGAAGTGTGGAGCCTCTTAGTGTTTTGATCTTCTCTAGTGCATCTCCTTGGCCAGTCACAGAGCACTTTTCACAGGGAGTAGAACTACTATCTGTATTTTATAGGCAGAGAAGTTATGAAACAGGAAGAGAAAATGATTGCCCAATACCACTCATTAGAAAAGAGATCCTGCTGTGGCCCCCTTTCCCATCTTGATCTTCCCCAGCTCTCCTCCCTACTTGCTCACTGGAGCATCGCATCTTTGTTAGCATTTGCTGTCTCTTTCTATTCTGCCTCAGGTAAACCAGATGATCGCTACCAAATGTTAGCGTTCACTCTCGCTGTGTCAGTCCTCAGCTCGTGCTTTTGTTTTATTAAAGTAAACCAGCATCATCTTAGGCTTATTTGTCCAGTTGTGCAGTAGAGTCTGAAGTATAGACTGAGATGATACACCCTTGTAGGTGTTTCACCCTCAGTGTAACAACAGTCACACAGTGTGGAATAAGCTGCCTTCAATTCATGTGCATTTTGAGCAGCATCTATAATAAAAAATATTTGAGCTGGGAATTTAAAGTCTTAAAAGGAGACTGGCACGATTAATGCTTGCTATGGTTTCCTTTTTTGTCTCTTGTAGCACAGCTTTGCTGTGGATTCTTCGTGATCCTGATCCTGGGCAACTTCTGGTTCCTTGCTGTTCTGTACCTGTTGTGGCTTTACCTCGACTGGGAAACGCCATGCACAGGGGGCAGACGGTTCCAGTGGATGAGCAATTGGACTGTTTGGAAGTACTTTAGGGAATATTTCCCCATTCACGTGAGTAAAAGGTTTCTCACAGGAATGTAAACGTTGGAACAGAGACAGCCTGAATAGCCACGAGCGTGGACAAATGTCTATGACTCATCTTTGGTAAAATTCTAATACTTACTCCAGGGTGAACTTAACCTCTTTTCAAACCATGTGAAGTCAGATTTAGTGGCAAAAAGGGGCAAGGGCTGATTTTCTACTTGGACTGTTGAGTCACAAGATAGTGCCTCAGCACAGTAAATGCTAGACATGATGTCTTGAGACACATCTATTTAAACTTTGCTCAGCTGTAAAACAAGACAGTCGTTTAAAGTGCTCAGAAGGAAATGAATTGTCATCAGTTCTGTGTCCTGTCAATGTGCAACCTCCATACTTGTTTTTGAGAATCCTTCTGAGGTAAGTATTACAATGTCCTCCACTGTCTCTATTTTCCAGCTTATAAAAACTTCAGATCTGAATCCAAATCACAACTACTTATTTGGCTTTCACCCTCATGGGGTCCTGGTAGCTGGAGCCTTTGGAAACTTTTGCACCGGTACAAGTTTCAAAAATTTATTTCCTGGGCTTACTCCATATCTTCATATCATGCCCATGTGGTTTGGCTGTCCATTCTTCAGAGAATACATAATGAGTGCTGGTAGGTAAAAGCAGAATGTCTCGGCTGTTGCTCCATATTATAGCTTCTGCTTCAAATGTAGGGCCTGTTCCTGTACCTACAAATGGTAAGTAATTTCACTTCAGAAGGACAAGTCTTGGTGATTAATTAAAACTCTGTATTATGATGAAATGTTGTTGCAAAACCATTTGAAAGGTTTTATTAATTTTGCTAAACTATATCACTGGGCTTTTTTTCTTTCTGAAAAACACCCTGGTTTTCCCTTGGACTATGAGACAGAAGTACTGAGCACCAGTTATTTCCAAGAAGAGAAGAGCGTACTAATCTATAATGTTATTTAGTCATTGCATAGACACTTACAAAAAAAATTCGGGATCCCTTACCTGAAGGGCTTAAAGTCCTACTCATTACAAACGTCTTCCTAGTTAGAAGTTAATTACCTACTTCTAACTGAGGTCTCCTATTGCAAAGTTGTGTAGTTTTAGTGGAGATTTAAACTCTAAAAACAGGAACCTTTTCTTTCTCTGTTCTGAGTAGCGCTTGTCATAAGGGGATGATATTAATGACCAGTGCTGCAGTGTAAAGGACAAAAATAACAAGCAATAAAGTTTGGGGAACAGAAGAATGTCTAATGAAATCAAGACTAGTGTTCCCCCACAGTGCTTTAATACAAGAATTATTTTATTTAAATTCATTAAACTAGAGCATTTGAATAAGTATGGTCTGGTGCACAAGGCTTGATTTGGAAGACAGCTCTTATTCCTTACTGAAACACAGACATTTCGTAGCCTGAAAGTCAGCTTTACCTATTTTTGGCATCTTGACCTGTAGGAACAAATATTTACCTGTTAGATGAGAAGTAACTTGAGTAAAAAGCATGCTAAAGAATAATCAGCATTGTAGCTTGTTTTTCACAGGTATGTATCTGATAAACCAGAGGAAGACCTTCAGACAACACAGGTTATCAGTCAAATGATAAAACACTTGCAACATCTTCCGTGTGCTGAAAGCCATGCTCCTAGCACATTGTTTCATCACCCAGTCTTGCTCTCTGTCTCCAGAGCCTGCAAGGCTGCAGCTGCCATCGTAAAGAGCAGTTGCAGCACCTGCGAGTTGTGCTGTGTGTGTGTGTGTGTGTGCAGGGAACAGCGCCCTGCACGTGGGCTGACAGCTTCAACAGGGAGATCATTTTATCCTGGGGAAAGAATGGCTCTTGCTTTGTCTTCCAGAGAAAATGCATGCCAATGGGTTAATGATCATCACTCATGTTATTTGTGAGCCTCAGGTCAGCTGCGTTTTTCAGAGTAACAGAGACTGTGAAGACATACGTGGCAAATGGAAGTAGCTTTTTACTGAGGTCTGAACTTGCTCCAGTAGCAAGGTATTCCTTTTGGTGGCCAGCTCTCAAAACTAGATCACAGTCACCTTCCCTTTCTTGTGAGATTTTCATAATCCACGTTGTAATGTCCCTAATAAGAAAAAAGAACAAGTGGGTAACAGGAGTTGCAGTCTTTGCTTCGCATCCGAAAGAGCATGCTTTGATACTAGCCCTGTAAAAAAACAACAAAGCAAACTAGACTTGTCTCTAAATTGTCGTTTAGACTATACTAATTCAAGACAATGTAATTAAATGTGGTTTCTGGGTATATGATACCACTAAGAGCCTTTGAAGTAAGACTTAGGGCCCACAGGAACTCTGGAGGGATTAGATGCACATCGGTTAGAAAGGGGTTCTTCAAAGCACCAAGTTCAGAGCAAGGTCCAAGTCAATGTTAAAGCCTATACAGCAGTGTGCCTCTGATTGATAGTATCAGGATCAGCAGGAGTACCACGAAAACTGCATATATTCTGCTGTTTTAGCCTAAGTGGATTGATAAGTGCCAGGTCCTGGTTACTAGAGAATGAGCTGATGCAGTCATTGGGGATGGCCTTTACTCCTGCTTCTGATGCTGTTGTGCCATTGCCTTAGGTGGAGCTGCTGCTTTATAGCTTTGAAAAGAACAAAGGGGATCAGCTTGGCACTGTAGATCCATGTTTAATTTAGCAAATCGTCTATTCACTCTGTTAAACCCTCTATCCCTGTGTTCGTACGCACTTGTTGTCTGGCTTTACCTGCTGCTGCTCAACAGTAGCTGCTGCCATTCAACTCTTCCATTCTCGGGCATAATCTCTCTGAGAGGAAGTTAAGTTGGCAGAGGAGCATGCTCTTGCCTGAAGATCTCAAACAGCAATTAGCCCATCAGTGTGAAATCAGAGGACTTACCTAAGACCAAATCTGTTGCAGAGTGAGGGGGCTGAATGCAAGTCTTTCAACGCTGTCCTGTGCTGTAATAATTTTGAAACATCATTTAGATATTTAAAAATATTTGTTAAATTCCACTGTACCTGTGCATGAAGAGCCAGTGGTCACTTTTAAAATGTTTGCTCCTGAAGGAATGGTTTCTGTATCCAAGAGGAGTGTCTCGTACGTGCTGAATAACAAAGGAGGTGGCCACGCGTCCATCATTGTGATTGGAGGAGCAGAGGAATCTCTGAATGCACATCCTGGAAGTTTAACTTTGAACATCCTCAAGAGGAAGGGCTTTATTAAATTGGCCTTGAAACATGGGTAGGTTTCCTATCTGGGCTGATGTAAGCATGCTTTTCATACAAATCGATTCTTAAATATAGTGCATGTTATATATAGCAAAGTCATATAATTAGAATTTGAAAGAGTTGCTTGTCTAAGAATATGCAGATGTCTGGAATAGGTGGCAGCCTGTCCACCTAGATCCAATCTAGGAGTGGTGAAAACTCCCTTTGACTTTCATAATTTGTAAGCAGTGGGTGTTATTAGCATAATAACATGAATTGTTTTTTGCACTAGCAAAGAGTAAGAATTGTGAAACATTGCTAAATCTTGGCTGAATCCACTGCTGAGTGGAGCAGACATCCTGTTTTCTGTTCTGTAAATTGGAGTTGTGTTAAGATAGAATTTTCTTATAACTTTAAGCAAACAAACAAACCAACAACCTAGAAGGCTAGGCTCTGTTTTATTAAATCAGCTGAAAATTGTGGTCTAGGAAGGTGTGTTTTCACCTTTATTCTAAACACTTCCTTTTCAAGATTGTTATTTGCAAAAGTAAGTTTCTGGGAATTTTTGGTGAAAATCCCAAGAAATCTGGCTTACTTTTTACTATCCAAAGAGCCATCGGTGTGTAACTAAGCGGAAATGGTGTGTCTTTTGAGTGACGTACACAGTATAAGCTATTGTGTTCTGGGTTTGTCTAGATGTCTTTCATGCTATAAATATTGGAATCAATAACTGGTTCCTGCTGAGTTTTCTGAACAATTCCCAGGGTTAGATATTGACATGTGAAACAGCGTGAAAAAAATACTAGTCCTGAGAAATCTGTAGCAGTTTTTTAAGCTATGAACTGAGAAAAAAGTGGTCTCTGAAAAGAATGGCTCTCTGTTTTCACACAGGATGCCAAGGTCCATTTTTTTTCTATAAACTTATTTTTCTGTGCTCTCTGGCCCTGGCTCATGTATGGCCAGCACAGAAAAGCTGTGTTTCCTCAGCTAGGAACTTGTCAAATGTGGTCTGAATATACCAGTGGAAGTCTCCTCCGCATCTCTGGAAAAGGCATTTTGGTCCAAGGTAGTACAGATGTCTGATAGGAAGTGAAGAAATCCTAAAGACACGAAACAAATGATGAATCAGCTAACTCATCTTTAGTTTCACAATCACCAGTGACTTATTTCTCTGCCTCAACCTCCTACATAGCATCTTGCAAAAGCCTTTACCAGATTAAAACAAATCCCACAGTCTCGGGTGCTATTGCACCACAAGATGTTACTGTTTGTCTTAGTGTTGTAGTAAAAAGTGGAGTATTTGCACAGCCACATCTTCCCGATATGTCCTTTACTGGCCGCTGGGTGCTGTGTTTTGTTTGGGACAGAACCTTTGAGCAGACACTAGTCAGAATAATGAGTTGGAATGATAAGTCTTTGGGGATCCTCATGCCTGAGAAGCTGTAGACGCAGCTGTGTTTTCCATACGGGTGGGTTTTGGTTGCTCACCATACTTTCCAGCCAGCTCTGTCCTCAGTGTGTCCTCCTCAGGCATTCAGAGCTCTGCAGTAGTTTATCCTGACAATATTATAGCAATGCTGCTGTTTTACAGTAAGGCTTTTCTCAAAGATAATATGGGCCAAATGGAGATACAGAAGATACGGAAGCTAAGACTTAAGTAGAGCAAGTAAAACACCTCTGTATCCTTCAGAGACTGCTTAGGATTACCCTGCTATTTTTTTTTAATTTAGAGACTGTAGAATACTATTGAATGAAACTGAGTATTAATCTAAAAGCATATACTGCAGTCAGGGTTTTACATATAGCAGTGATTTTTGTCTGTTGGAGACAACTGCACTGATTCCATCCGCCTAAGTAGTTTGTCCAGGAGCTCATCAGTGCCTTTCCTCCCAGGCCAATTCATGAACTGAATGAGAATTCATTAGGCTGTGCTGGAGCCAAAAGTGAGCGAGTATAATTTCTGTGGGTAGGATTTGACCTCTGATAGTAATGGATTAAGGCTAATGTTTTCAAAGAAGTCTGGAGGAAGCAGGATTTCACTGGGAATTGGACAGCAGAAGAATTTGGCATTGCACTCGTGTCTGTAAGGATGTCTGGTTTTTATCCAGTTGTTTGTGCAGAAATCAAGTGCGTGCACTGCTCCGGTCAAAAGGCAGAGGAAAGCCAAGATCTGGTTTTGATGCCACCCAGCTGGCAGCGTTATAAGGTTAGCAATGAGGTTTCTTTGCTTGCCAAGGGAGAAAATGCAGTGGAGCAAGGTTGGACTTGCTGAAATAGTGCTGGATAAGGTCATCATTATAAGTCTGATATATTCAATTATTCATTTTTAGGATTATGAACAGTCACAGAAAGTTTGATGGCGAGCAGTCAGCCAAATACTGCCCAGAAGCTTGTTGCTGGTTGCATGCCAATCACTTCTTTTTGTTTTAAAAAAAAAAAACCAAAACCCCCACAACAACGAACAAAAAACCCAAAGCAGCTGCATATCAGAAGAGTTGAATGCCTGTTACTGATGAAGTCTGGAGCTGCCAAAGCTTTCTGTGCTGCTTATTGTGAAGCCATTTCCACACTGCTGACGTGAACCGCAGTGCGAGTGCAGGCTGATATGGGGTTCTCAGTGTGCTCCTTGTTTTACAGGGCTCATCTGGTCCCGGTGTTTTCCTTTGGTGAAAATGAACTATTCAAGCAAATTGCAAACCCCAGAGGTTCATGGCTCAGAAATGTACAGGAGAAGTTGCAAAAGATAATGGGCTTTGCCATACCACTGTTTCATGGTAGAGGAATATTTCAATACAGCTTTGGCTTCATACCTTACAGACAGCCTATTCATACTGTTGGTAAGTTCCCTGTGCCTTTTCTAAGGCTTTTGCAAATATTTAGTACTACTAATTTCTAAGATTATAAATCTGTTCTAACAGAAGCAATTGGTTACCGTCTGTCTAAAGCAAGTATGTGAGGTTTTCCTTTAAAAAAAAAATCCTTAAATTTATTAAAGGGGGGGGTTTCTTTTCTCCCTTTCACTTTTCTGTCCTAGGCCAAACCCTACTCTTCATCCGCAGTTATTCACAGGCCTCTATGCTCTGCAATCCTCAAGGAAACCCAAGGGCTGTCCAGTCTGCACCAGAAGGCTGCCACAGCTCTGCAGCTGATGCTGCAGGTATTTTGTAAGATGCCCAGCACCTTCATTTCTTAGCCCTGCAGAGAAGCAGCAGCTGACACGTGCCCGCTGTGGTGGTGCTGCAGGGCAAGGCTCCTGGCAGGAGCTGGTGCGATCCTGACCCGTGGTGGAGGAGGGAAGGGAGAGGGTGCCTTGCAGCAGCACTGCCGCGGTCCTTCTGCAGGCCGCTGCTCAGATGCCATTGCAGCTCCCTGGGGTGTTTCTTCTCCTGTTACTATTTTTTTCCCCATGGAAAGATCTGTTCTTGTTTAATTGAGAGCATGCATGCTACATCGATCAGGCAGTTTGGAAGAGTTTTTTCCTCCAAAAGCTTTCATCCCTAGTCATCTGCTCTCGCTGGAGTGTAGGACTTGAATGTCTTTCGATTTTTAGTGGTGTTAACTCGTGCTATTGATCATCACACCTTTAAAAAGAGTCGTGTATCATGCAAAGGGAATAGCTGTCTGTCCATATATTTTTTGATAAATAATTTTTAGCCAGATTCTGAGCTGAGTAAACCAACGAAGCCTATTTCTAGAGAAAAGTAAATCGAGCTTTTCTGGTGTTCCACAAGGGACATTTAAGAAGGCCTTCCAATTAATGGAGGGATGATTTGAGTTTTAGTATGGCTCAGATAAAAATATTTAAGAGAAAAATGTACATCTTTTTATGCTAAATTTCATGCAGCTCTGTATCTTATCAGTGCACATAATTAAATGCTCTAGAAAATACTTAATTTTTAAAACCTGCGTTGTGCACATCACTAAAAGCCAAAGAGTTCCCAAAGCATTGGAATGAGGATGACATTTTTTGCAGTTTTTCATTGGGTTGATGAGACTATTCTGAAGCTTAAAATGTCTTTCACTTTGAGGCAAATCTTCCTCATTGCAATATTTACTGCCAGGACAGAGGTGCTCCGTGCCTAAAGCACAGAAGTGCTTCAAATCGGCAAGATCAAAGTCTTAAAGTAGAATTTGTTGTATTATCTCATGAAATCTCTTGCCATGTCCCTGCATTCTTGGGGGGGGGGGCTTTGGTGTGGCTCAACACAGCTCTGAACTTGTCAGCTCAGTCCTGCACTTGGGAAACAACAACCCGGT